TAACCACTTCATATATGAGCAAAAAAATAAATAAATAAATAAATAAATAAATCAAACGAATTGCAGTGCACGTCGAAAAATTGGTTTTTCGGCAAAAAGGTCATCTAAGGATCGTATCATGTCACAAAGATATTTCCCAATGCCACGTACTGTTCTGGAAAAAATGTCAAATTATAACAAATTATAACGATATAAAGGCAAATATTAAAGTTATGAAATGTATTTATATATTTACAAGTAGATAAAAATACACACAAATAATCGTACGCGTCATATGATGATAGAAGTTAGATAAGGAAAGAAATGAAACGCTTTTTTTTTTTTAGAACATCCGATGAAGAATGCGCACAGTCGTTAACTTCTGGTTAATAAAATTTCCGCTTTCCAGCCCAGTGTTGTTCGAGTACAGATAAAGATCTAGTGCGTAAGTAGAAATTATTTAATTTACAAATTACAGAGGTCCCGTTTCCCTTTTCGAAGCTAATAGCAGGTGAATGAATGGTGGGAAATCCTCAGCAAAGTTTCGATGCCCGATTTTATTTTAGAAATATTATCAAGATCGTTTGTTTTTGCAAGTTATGCATTAATTATGTTCCCCAAACGAAGTTTGGGAACATATTGTTTTTACTTTTTCTGAATTTTTTCTTTGTTCTCCGGTACTTTTTTGTCCGCGAGTGTTCTCGTAAACTACTCATCCGATCTAGGTGAAACCTTTTTAGGGTCACTAGGTATGTTATGTAGATGTGCGGAACGAAGGTCATTTTGCGCGCACGTGCGTGCAGGTGCGCGCACGTGTAACACGTGAAATGATCAATATAATAGATTTAGCCGTAACTTCTTAAATATTGGATGAAATGCTTTGAAACTCATAATATAAGGATATAGTAGTAGTATAGACATGATGACATGGTCAAAATAGCAAGATCTCACGCGCATGCAGGTGCCCTTCGCTGCGATTGGCTGAAACTTAAAGTCTAAATATCTATTTTGTTTTCTGACAAAATCCTTTGAAATTTTGAACATAGTCTTACATTATGAAGATCTACAGCATGATATATAAGAATAATCATGAACGCACGCACATGCACGTGTGCTGCAATCTGATTGGCTAAAACTTTAAATGCCTACAACTTTCTTGGTTCTCAATAATACAGGGTGAAATTTCAAATATGAATAGATATAATGATTGCCTACATTATACTACTATCAAAAGTAAATACATGGACGTGCATGCACATGCGACCGCACACAATGTATTAAAAGACAGTATACTTGAGTGTTTGATGTTCATGCAGAATTAAGAACTTCTAAATGTCAAGACATGTAACATACTGAAGCATGCAGATCTTTTTACCCTTGACCTTGAAACTTAGGTCAAGGTCACTGGTAACCTGAATAAAATGTTGATATTAACTATTTACCAAAATCACCTTGACCGTTTGAACTTGAAATCGACCTTAACCTTTGTCCTTGACCGAAGGGTAAAAAGAAACATGAAGTACATGTACATGTATCTAGAAACACCTTTCAGAGTTTATTTCGGTTGACAGGTTAGAAGTTAAAGAGGTGGTGGTTTTTAATGACCTTGACCTTTCATCCAAATGTCACAATCAATCTTAAGTTCTTGGAATAAGATACAAGATTCAACTGCAACGTTACATAGGTTAAGAATAAAAATACCCCCCCCCCCCCAACCCACCCACCCACACACACACACACAAACAAATCAAATTAATGGCAACGTAGAGAATCACTGTTAAACTCAAATAACACCTCGGACCCACATAAAATTTCAGGAAAACTGCAGAAAAGAGCTCGAGGAAAGTGTATTAAAATATTTCATTTGAGTTTCCAAAGTATATAGAAATTATTAATTTATACAGAAAAAATTACAAATCCTGTCGTGTTTAAAATTAAAGTGCAGATGACCAAAGTTGGCATATAAGCCTTTTATAGCCTATTTATTCAGATGTCGTTAATAGCATTCGATTCTACTGATTTGAAATAATATTTTAATACCAAGCATCCTTTGTTTAATTTACCTTTGAAATTTATTTGAATTTTTTTTAGAATTACGCAATCCCCAGAAATAGCGATTTTCGGTATATTAAAAAATCAATATACATGTACGCTCCTTCGTAAAATAATCAGATATTTGCATTCATGAAAAAAATATTAATAAGAAGGTGTTAAACAATATAGGTTACATTAGCTGACACGAATGTCTTTTTAAACATCTCTTGTGAAACCCAGAGAGTAGCCCCCTATGCATTGGAAACAAAATGAATAGTTCCGGTCAAAAAACCTTTATATATTTATTTACAAAGTATATAAAATTTACCAGGCACAGGTATCAGAGTTGTCAAAATGGCCTGAGAGGAAATATTAAAAAAATTCTGAACAGAAAGGAAAATCCCTTTTCCATGTATGGAACTACTATTGAATATAACCAACCCCGGACCCGTTTAACACGGTAGTAGAAAATTAGAATTTTGCTGTTTTATTAATTTTTTTGCTTTTAACTTCTTTTCTTGAAGCCAAATGATATGAAAACACTCAAGAAGGCGAAAAGATTTCATATTGTTATCTGAATTAAAATCAAAATTGTAATCTGAACAATTAGTCTCCTTATTATGTTCCCCAAACGAAGTTTGGGAACATATTGTTTTTACTTTTTCTGAATTTTTTCTTTGTTCTCCGGTACTTTTTTTGTCCGCGAGTGTTCTCGTAAACTACTCATCCGATCTAGGTGAAACCTTTTAGGGTCACTAGGTATGTTATGTAGATGTGCGGAACGAAGGTCATTTGCGCGCACTGTGCGTGCAGGTGCGCGCACGTGTAACTCGTGAAATGACCAATATAATAGATTTAGCCGTAACTTTTTAGATATTGGATGAAATGCTTTGAAACTCATAATATAAGGATATGATAGTAGTATAGACATGATGACATGGTCAAAATAGCAAAATCTCACGAGCATGCAGGTGCCCTTCGCTGCGATTGGCTGAAATGCAAAGTCTAAATATCTATTTTGTTTTCTGACAAAATCCTTTGAAATTTTGAACATAGTCTTACATTATGAAGGCCTACAGCATGATATATAAGAATACTCATGAACGCACGCACATACACGTGTGCTGCAATCTGATTGGCTAAAACTTTAAACGCCTACAACTTTCTTGGTTCTCAATAATACAGGGTGAAATTTCAAGTATGAATAGATATAATGATTGCCTGCATTATACTACTATCAAAAGTAAATACAAGGACGTGCATGCACATGCGACCGCACACAATGTATTAAAAGACAGTTTACTTGAGTGTTTGATGTTCATGCAGAATAAAGAAATTCTAAATGTCAAGACATGTAACATACTGAAGCATGCAGATCTTTTTACCCTTGACCTTGAAACTTAGGTCAAGGTCACTGGTAACATAAATAAAATGTTGATATTAACTATTTACCAAAATCACCTTGACCTATGAACTTAAAATGGACCTTTACCTTTGTCCTTGACCCAAGGGAAAAAAGAAACATGAAGTACATGTACATGTATCTAGAAACACCTTTCAGAGTTTATTTCGGTTGACAGGTTAGAAGTTAAAGAGGTGGTGGTTTTTAATGACCTTGACATTCCATCCAAATGTCACAATCAATATTAAGTTCTTGGAATAAGACACAAGATTCAACTCCAAAGTGAAATAGGTTAAGAACATAGAAAAATACCCCCCCCCCCCTCCCCACCCCCCACCCCCACACACAAAACAAATCAAATTCAACTGGCAACGTAGAGAATCACTGTAAACTCAAATAACACCTCGGACCCACATAAAATTTCAGGAAAACTGCACAAAGAACAGCTAAAGAGGAAAGTGTATTAAAGTATTTCATATGAGTTTCCAAAGTATATAGAAATTATTAATTTATACATAAAAATTACAAATCCTGTGTGTTTAAAAATTAAAGTGCAGATGACCAAAGTTGGCATATAGGCCTTTTATAGCCTATTTATTCAGATGTCGTTAATAGCATTCAATTCTACTGATTTGAATTAATATTTTAATACCAAGCATCCTTTGTTTAATTTACCTTTGAAATTTATTTGAATTTTTTTTAGAATTACGCAATCCCCAGAAATAGCGATTTTCGGTATATTAAAAATCAATATACATGTACGCTCCTTCGTAAAATAATCAGATATTTGCATTCATGAAAAAAATATTAATAAGAAGGTGTTAAACAATATAGGTCATATTAGCTGACACGAATGTCTTTTTAAACATCTCTTGTAAAACCCAGAGAGTAGCCCCCCATGCATTGGAAAAAATGAATAGTTCCGGTCAAAAAACCTTTATATATTTATTTACAAAGTATATAAAATTTGACCAGGCACAGGTATCAGAGTTGTCAAAATGGCCTGAGGAAATATTAAAAAAAATTCTGAACAGAAAGGAAAATCCCTTTTCCATGTATGGAACTACTATTGAATAAGTTCACTTTGATTGGTTAGGTATTGGCTTTTAACTTTTATATTCTTAAATGAAATCATGGGATACTTAGCATATTTATAAAAGGTCTTAGAGGAATAAGGCACGATAAGGGACATGGGGAGCGTTTGGGGAACATCTGTAACGGTCCCCGTTACAATTAGCACTAGTTATCAATTACAATCTACATAAAACTTGGGTGCCCCCACTAAAATTCTCACTAAAATTCCTATCACTTCAAGATATACATATTATATATTTATTTGTGACTGTGATATATATAATGCTTTGCTTATTGTATAATCTTCTGCATTAGGGAAATTATGCTTATTTAACTTCTTTCCCCCCACCCCCCTGTGATGTTGACAAATATATTCTATGTGGTACATGTATATTTGACCTAATTATTATCCTAGATCCACCCATGTATTCTTCTTGCAGAGCTCCCCTCAAGGTGCCCCCCAGGGCCTCCTTCCTCCTTTGCTTGGACAGACAGGTACCCCGCCCACTCCCAGTCCGAATGTCTAGCTGTACAGGACTTGGACAATCCCTTTGGGATTGACACATTTAAACCAGAGAAGTCACAGAACCCGTTTCAAGAGGACGTTTTTGACCCACTGAAATACATGAATATTTCGGATGGAGACAATGTTGTGGCAACAGACCAAGTTGAGAGTGTGTAAAATTATTTTCATTGCAGTCAAAACCAACTTTTCTTTGTGTGTGAATTTACAATAAAATTGAGTACGTAAAAAAGTTTTTGTTTTTTGAAATTTTGGGGGAATAAAGGTACCAGTTTTTTTCTGAACATGTATTAAATTTAAAATTAGTATCGAAGGGCACATTTTTAAAACAAAGAAAGGAAAGTGTTTGTACCACAAGCAAAAAAATTTTCCTCCAAATCTCTTTTGAATTTGTGAAAAACTTGAAGAATGTACTAGCACAAAAGATAGTTGGTTGAAAACAGATATTTTTTTTCTAAAATGCTCCGCTTCACACAATATCTCACTTCTATACCAATGTGACTAAACTTCACTTTTTCATTGCACTCGCTCATAATCAACCTCTATATTTTATTTATAGATCTGAATTGTATCCTTTTCCACAAACTCCCTAGCCTTCACCATCAAGCGGGAGTTGTGGCGCGTTGCAATTTTGTTTTCTCTTGTAAATGAGAGTTAGAATTTTCTCATTTTCTAACGGGATAGGAAAAAAAATAAAATTGATACAAATCAAAACTCTTATAAAGTAATTTTGCAAAAACAAAATATATATATATTAATTGGCTTACAAGTTAAAAGGTTCGTAAAATTTTTGCTAAAAAAAAACATGCTATGTATACAAAAATCTCTCTTTTTAATTACCAGAATGTATTAGATTTAAACACATATATTGTATATTGTTTAACGCCCCTTGGAGAATATTTCACTCATATGGGAGACACCACCACTTGCCGGTGGAGAGCTGCAAATTCTGTCCTATACTCAGCATTTAGGGCCATTGAGTAGGGAGGGATCTTTTTTGTGCCAGCACCTACTGCAACACAGGATCTCGATTTATATGGTCTCATCTGATGGAACAGTCTCCATATCCACAGTGGGATTCGAACCCGCGATGTAAGGGTGAACTCCTTACCTCGCGACTGTACAGCAGACACTGTAACCAGGCAACTAAACACATATATGACAGTAATAGAACAGTCATATAAGCTAAAAAAAAAGATTTTTTCATGATATTTGATCTATTGTGTAATGACATGCTTGTACATTCATAAAGGTTTAACCTTAACACAGAGGGACATCCATGTATACTTTCATGCATTAAAAAATCCATGATTTTGAAAACAATATTTTACCATGATATCATTTATATGAAGTTCCTTGTCATTTAATTGTGACAGATGTCACCAGGGAAATCTGTTATATGACTGATCACTGATTGAAGGCTGCAACAGCTGGGTCCATCACAATTAATGTTAATCTTCTTACTTCATGCTTTAATAATTCTTATCACAAAATCAAATCCATTTAGAATTTTTAGGAGATTGATGAGAAATGTGTCATTCAGATAGATGCTTATAACACATCAAGCCATTCTAAATTTTTTCTCTGTTTAAGGTCCACTCATCTTTCAAAAGTCTTAACTAAATCTATTCACAAAAAACACACCAGCCAAAATATAAAACAAAAATGTTTATTTTATTTTTTTTTAAAAAGCCATTGAAGCAATTTGATCTCATTAAGCTGTTTTTCTACAATAAATATCAGTATTCTTTCGCAAAATCAAGGCATACTGTACAGAATTATTTTAAGTAATTGAACAAAATTCAATAATTTCAACTAAATAAACCAATTTCCAGCCTTTTGATTTTGTGTAATGTATTGGGACTTACTGAAAACACAAAGAGCCAAATGTAAAAAAAAAATTCAATTTGCATGTATTAATTTTCAGTTCTTTGTTTTGGAAGTTTCTCCTTAATGTTGAGTGATCAACTCTTCACACATGAAAATCTTTTGATATTACTTACTAGTTAAAACAGTAGAGTATTTTGAATTTGATTCCTTGTTGCTTTATTCTGTAGTGAGAAGGAAGACGAGCCCAATGGTTGAGGACAATATGACGGACTCCACACCCGGTCTACGTAAGGCAGAGAGTAGAGACTCCCTGGATCTGCTAGAGGAGTAAGTGTCAGCTTAATCAGGACAAAAAAATTCATTTATAGTTTCTCAGGCACAACCGCATCAAGACAAACACTACTGCATTGATCTGTTTTATTGACATATTAAAAATGGGAAAGAACTCAAATTTTTCAAGGTGGAAAAGGAAATTTATCTTATGATTTTTTCAATATCAATAGATACTACAATGAGGAGGACAGCGGGGCATTCCCCGACTCCCTAAAGATGATACTCCACCAGATATATATGTCATAGGGTAAGTACTGGACACTCCACCAGATATATATGTCATAGGGTAAGTATTGGACACTCCACCAGATATATATGTCATAGGGTAAGTACTGGACACTCCACCAGATATATATGTCATAGGGTAAGTGTGGACACTCCACCAGATATATATGTCATAGGGTAAGTACTGGACACTCCACCAGATATATATGTCATAGGGTAAGTACTGGACACTCCACCAGATATATATGTCATAGGGTAAGTGTGGACACTCCACCAGATATATATGTCATAGGGTAAGTGTGGACACTCCACCAGATATATATGTCATAGGGTAAGTACTGGACACTCCACCAGATATATATGTCATAGGGTAAGTGTGGACACTCCACCAGATATATATGTCATAGGGTAAGTACTGGACACTCCACCAGATATATATGTCATAGGGTAAGTATTGGACTCTCCACCAGATATATATGTCATAGGGTAAGTACTGGATACTCCACCAGATATATATGTCATAGGGTAAGTATTGGACTCTCCACCAGATATATATGTCATAGGGTAAGTGTGTATCACTAGATATACCATATAATCCCTATTAACCGCCCTAGCGCTTAGAAAATTGAGAAAAAGGGGTGGTTATTTTTGATTCTCATTATAATATTTAATGTCATATTTGAACTTGAAGAAATCTTTTGACAAAAAAATTCAGCAGAGAACCACTAAAAGATTGTCTAATTTTCTTTTAAGTCAAGATAATCCATATGCTAGATGATTAATTTTTCCATAGAGAAATTAGAGAATACACAAGGTGAACAAATTGTGTAGGTATAACTTTCACTTTCAGAAATACGTAATGAAAAGGACGATTTAAAAATCTTTCATTTTCAGGACACGCTGTACCAGATATATATGCCATAGGGTACTAGTATTTAGAAATTAACAATGGCAGTATGTTTTATATTTGACAGATTTCAGGAGCTAGATCTTAGTAATCAGGCCTATGTGTTCAGTGACTCTGCAAAGGAAGAACAGTGGCACAACGCAGTCAGGAAGAGTCTACCCGCGAAAGTCCGATACAGAAAGGTCAGTCTAAATATAGGAAGATCAGTCATCTAACTATAGAAGTATCAGTCATTAAAATATAGATAGGTCAGTCATCTAAATATGGACAGGTCAATTCATACACAAACACACAAAGATTAGTCTCCACAAGTACAGAAAAGTTAGTCATCTGTACACATAATTTACAATTTTCATAGACTTAGTAGAAAAGAGTTATCTTCCTTGCCATGTTCTAGATTAGTTGTTTGAGGTGTCAAATGCTTTATTTTGGATAATTCTGTATGCTTGAAAAATGTGAATCAATTTTAGATTTACTATTAATTTAATTGATGGAAACTGAAGCTAAATTTTTACATTCAGCTCTTTCCTGTTCAAGTAAAGTATGCAGCATAGAATGTGCAATTTATAGGTGATATTGATGTTTCATTACCAATTTCTGATATTTGATTACAGGTGAAGCTTATTCGTATGGTAGGGATCATGTTATTGGTGTACGTCAAGGATTCCGTAGCACCAGATGTCCCCCCTCATTTTATAGATGCTGACTCGGTGCCCACTGGAATCATGGGAATTATGGTGAGCTCAGGTTATAGGGTCATTTCTCACTTTAGGTGTTTATATTCAAATTGATATTTATGTACTTCTGAATCAGAAAATAAAACCTATTATTAGTTACAAAGTATTAATTAATATTATACATTAATTAATTAATATTCAACATACCTGTACATTCTTGTCAATAGAATTAAATGAAATTTTGCTGCTTATACCACATATACTGGTATATCAGTCTTCATGATTCAGGCTATAAACATTGCATTTCATTGTATCATGATCTTCTTCTCAAATATGAACAATAATCTTTCATTTCATTATGATAAAATTTTAATTATGTTGACACTGTGTTTTGTAGGGTAACAAAGGAGGGGTAGGGGTGAGGATGACCCTACACAATACCTCCCTCTGTTTTATCAATACCCACTTAGCAGCTCACCAAGACGAATACGAACGAAGAAACCAGGTAAATGTCATTACTTTTACTAGAAAAATTCCACAGTTCTACGGACTTTGTCATTCTACACTCTGTATAGATATTCTTTACTTTAAGATTGAAACTTTACCTGTGGAAGGTACTCTATGTCAATTAATAGAAATCTTAATTTCCCCCTTGCAAACAAATGCTTTAATTTCTTTAAGTTTTTTTGAATACAGAATACAGTCAAATATTGTTATCTCAAACTTCATGGAACTGATAAAATTTTGAGATGTTCTAGGATTTGAGATATCAAGGACAAGATACTCAAAGAATAAGTGGTAGGGACTTTCAAATCATTTCAATACATGTACATGTATATCCATTATTTTTGAGACATTGGTATTTGAGTAATGAAATTCAACTGTATTGAATGTTGTTATGTTGGAAATACAATTGGCTGTCTTACACTGTGTGACATATAATAGCCCTGCAATACCTGAGACTTATAACTTTGTTGACTATACGTAGACATACGCTTACTTGTTGTGACTATGTATAGACATATGTTTACTTGTTGTGACTATGTCTAGACATATGTTTACTTGTTTTGACTATATATAGACATATTTTTACTTGTTGTAGGACTATATATCGACATGTTTACTTGTTGTGACTATATATAGACATATGTTTACTTGTTGTGACTATATATAGACATATGTTTACTTGTTGTGACTTTATATAGACATATGTTTACTTGTTGTGACTATATATAGACATATGTTTACTTGTTGTGACTATATATAGACATATGTTTACTTGTTATGACTATATATATAGACATATGTTTAGTTGTTGTGACTATATATAGACATATGTTTACTTGTTGTGACTATGTATAGACATATGTTTACTTGTTGTGACTATATATAGACATATGTTTACTTGTTGTGACTATGTATAGACATATGTTTACTTGTTGTGACTATGTATAGACATATGTTTACTTGTTGTGACTATGTATAGACATATGTTTACTTGTTGTGACTATTATATAGACATATGTTTAGTTGTTGTGACTATATATATAGACATATGTTTACTTGTTGTGACTATATATAGACATATGTTTACTTGTTGTGACTATATATAGACATATGTTTACTTGTTGTGACTGTATACATGTATAGACATATGTTTACTTGTTGTGACTATATACATGTATAGACATATGTTTACTTGTTGTGACTATGTATAGACATATGTTTACTTGTTGTGACTATGTATAGACATATGTTTACTTGTTGTGACTATATATAGACATATGTTTACTTGTTGTGACTATATATAGACATATGTTTACTTGTTGTGACTATATATATAGACATATGTTTACTTGTTGTGACTATATATAGACATAATTATGTTTACTTGTTGTGACTATATATAGACATGTTTACTTGTTATAGGACTATAGAGATGTGGAGGGTAAGATGAGATTTAAACAGTTCATGCCGCCGTTGACCATATCAGAGCATGAGTAAGTCTGATAATTAGAATATTCTGTTTATCAATCAAAACGACCTTTAATTAGTACTGAATTCTATTTAGCTAATTCTTAAGTTTATTATGATATTAATAATATTTTTCCATTTCTGCAGTCAGATATTTTGGATTGGGGATCTGAACTACAGGATAAATGGGCTGGACATTGACAAAGTGAAGACAATGATTGATAAAGGGAAATACCCAGACCTACTCAGCTACGATCAGGTTAGTTTTACAGGGCTTCTAAAAACCTTAATTAAGGGGGGATACCCAGGCCTTTTCAGCTTCTGTGTGATATTCAGAAAACCTGTTTTTATGTTACTTTTAGTTATATGTACTTAATCTACAAAACATGTACATGTAGAATGTTTATATCACTATAATATGATAAGGTTTGCTCCTCTTTCAGCTTCATCAACAGTTATATAGATCTGATGTGTTTGAGGGCTACAGGGAAGGCCAGATAAACTTCAAGCCCACGTATAAATACAACACAGGAACCAATGAATGGGACTCTAGTCCACGTATAAATACAACACATGAACCAATGAATGGGACTCTAGGTAAATATATACAATCTGACTGTCCACGTATAAATACAACACAGGAACCAATGAGTGGGACTCCAGGTAAATATATACAATCTGACTGCCCATGTATAAATACAACACAGGAACCAATGAATGGGACTCCAGGTAAATATACAATCTGACTGTCCACGTATAAATACAACACAGGAACCAATGAGTGGGACTCCAGGTAAATATATATACAATCTGACTGTCCACGTATAAATACAACACAGGAACCAATGAATGGGACTCCAGGTAAATATACAATCTGACTGTCCACGTATAAATACAACACAGGAACCAATGAATGGGACTCCAGGTAAATATACAGTGCAGGGAACTAATTTTGTTACATAAACCAGCATCAGGATCAGCATAAGTAGGATCAGATAGAACTAGCATGGCATAGACATTTAAAAAAACAGCATTACTTGGATCAGCATCAGCAAGCAAAGGATAGAACTAGCATTGACCAAAGTGAAAACAGATAAAAGAAAGTCATTTAATACAAATTACAAATAAAAATTACCAAAAATTATTTTTAATGGCTTAAAATATTGATGCTGTTTTTGAATTCTGCGACAGGATAATCCTACTTCATTACTAGCATAACTAGTATTGACCTAGTTTTGAACCAGCATCAGGATAAGGATCAAATCAGGATCAGGATATGCTAGGATAAATAGCATCAAAATCAGCAAGCAAAGGAAGAATCAAAATCAGCAAGCATAGGAAGCACCAAAATCAGCATTGATGCTGTAACAAAATTATTTCCCTGCACTGTACAATCTGACTGTCCACGTATAAATACAACACAGGAACCAATGAGTGGGACTCCAGGTAAATATATACAATCTGACTGTCCACGTATAAATACAACACAAGAACCAATGAATGGGACTCCAGGTAAATATACAATCTGACCGTTCACGTATAAATACAACACAGGAACCAATGAATGGGACTCCAGGTAAATATATACAATCTGACTGTCCACGTATAAATACAACACAGGAACCAATGAGTGGGACTCCAGGTAAATATACAATCTGACTGTCCATGTATAAATACAACACAGGAACCAATGAGTGGGACTCCAGGTAAATATATACAATCTGACTGTCCACGTATAAATACAACACAGGAACCAATGAGTGGGACTCCAGGTAAATATACAATCTGA